TTACCCATATTCAAATTCTTTAATTCTATCTTCAAAACTCAAAATTACATTTCAGAAATGCACAAATCTACTATTGATGAACACATTTTAAGAGTTCTTGCTAATGAAATTCAATATGAATCTAAAAATGCTAATTACTAACTGTATCCTCTGCAACAAAATCTTTTGAATCCACTCTATTTCTACTGAAATCACCAAACAAAATAGTGGGTGACGACAAAATGATCTTCTTCTACTTCTTGTTCTTAAGAATCATTCATCAACACAACAACACTGCAAACAGTTTGATTGATTTGAACTTGAATTGAGAGTTTGAAAAAATGCAATCTGAAGCAGTGAGATATCTGCAATTGATCTTATGTAAGCAATACTTAATTGAGTTACACCGGCGCCTTCTCTGGCTGTTGGTATTGATTACTTGCCACTGTGAACAACGCTGTTCTTGATGCGGGTCTATATCATCACAGAATAAATACACATACAATATCTAATTATCCAACATATACAATAAAAATAATCAATTTTCAGCTCATGCTTGAAAGCAAAATAAAATTATTAACAGTCGTTTTTGCAAATATTTGCAATCCGTAATCAAGGGAGGGTGTAAGCAGCATTAGCTCTCTAGCCTGACAAAGGCAAAAACTCTTGAGCAGCCACTGCAAATGTTTTGAGAAACAAGCCTTTCAAGATGTTGTCATCATCTCAGATCACATATTTGTAAACATTAAAATCACATGCCCAGCAACACATTTAACATAAAACAAGGAGTATCCAGTCATGCTTAGAAAATGAAATTAAGTTTGCTAGTCTTCTTCCACAGATTTGTTATAAGCTCAAATCTCAGACATCCAAGGAAGGATTAAAGCAGCATTAGCTCTCAAGCCTGGCGAAGGCGAATGCTCTTGGGCGGCCACTGCGAATTCTGAGAAACAAGCCTTTCATCATATCATCATTGACTTGAACTTATCAATGTTAAAATCCCTTCCAAACATCAACTAACAAATTAAACAGACAAGATGAGAGATGATTGTGAAAACAACATCAACATCATCATTAGTAACCTAAGACCTTGTTGTACTGAAATCAAATACTGAAACAAGCTGTACTAAAGCGGGAGATAATGATCAAAATGAGTAGCACTTGATTAAAATTGTTTTTAACAGTTGATGATATATTTTCGATAACTTTCCTTCTCTTTAATAATATAATTCTCTTCCATCTATCATAAATCAATTTATTGACAACTACAAAAATAAAAAATCTTCCATTCTTTAATGATCAACAAGTAACCAAGAAGATTGCTGACAAAGTGAAATGAAAATTTAATATATGGGACTCATTCATCGCCATGGCACCTTGAAAATATAGCCAAGGAGAGAGATGTTTAGTCCCATGTAGAGTGTAGACACTACACTACTGACTACACACAGAAGGACATAAAACAGAATAAAACAAATGTAACAAAAACTTCAAACTTTACTATATAATTACATAAACTTTACAGAATAAATCTAACAGTTTATGCACAAACCCATAAACTTTCAATTGATATAAAAAAAATTTAACTCCCCAACATCCAAACAGAAATATAATTTAATCTAATCTTTATGATTTTCAATTTAATCAAGCAACTAAGCCAATGACATGACCAGCCATCATTAACATACCAAGAATCATCATATCATAGCATGTAACAACCAATTGAATCAAAGAAATAATTCAACAAACAAACAAACACAACCAATTACTTAAACTCCCCACAATTTTATAATTGAATAACAAACCAATCAGAGAGCAGGAGGCTAAAGCCGGAAGCTCTGAAACAAGAGGTGTGGTGATTGTTTTTATAAGGATAGAAGAGATTACAGTTTAGGGTTTTGAAGTTGATCTATTCAAATATGGGCTAACCATTTTTGAAATTTAATGTACATAGTACCCAATAATAGGCCCATACCCAATACTAGGCCCATACCCAATACTAGGCCCACACGTTTAAAACACATTAATCCATGCATATTAGTGTAAAGTGTTCTATTAGAAAAAAGGAAAGTTGTAGTTTCCTTCCTAGTAGAATTTAGTATCCTAAACCAACCTAACTTAGTAACCAAGTTTGGTATACCTTATATCTGGTGGCTGGTGCACTATAAATATGATATGATCATCTAGTATTGCTTAGGTTAATTTACAATCATCATCAAGCTCAAATCACTAATCACTAATCACTAATGGAGGAGTCTAAAGAAATCACCACTACTACTTCTTCTTGTGCTTCAACAGATTTAGTTACAGATGTGTTTCATCAAATATTAATGCGAGTTTCGTTAAATACTCTTAATCCATGCAGAGAAGTGTGTAAAGATTGGCTTAAACTTACACATGAATCATATTTTGCTAATCTACAAACCCAAAACAGTAATGGAAAAATTGTATCAGGTTACTATATCCAATGTCTGAAACCAGTTAACAGATATACTTGCACTTATGTGTCCAAGAATCCCACAACTAGTAGTTTGGATTTGAAATTTTTACCAACTAATTATTATGATGCAACTAAGATTGTGGCATCTTCAAGTCAAGGATTTTTATGTTGTGTAACACAAAGTCGAATCCCGAGATATTATGTATGCAAGCCTACAACAAAAGAATGGAGAAAGATTGCAAATCCAAAGACTAGGTACTTTACTGTTAGTATGGCAATGGTGGTTCGAACAAATCCTCTGAACTTCATCATTGTTCGTTTATCATCGCTTTTATCCTGGTATGTTAGTATGGCTGTTTCCATCTCTTTTTTTTCCTTTTCTGCATCAATATATATATCATGATATGCATTCAGTTACCTAGCTAGGATGATTCTTTCTGTTTCATGTCGCGGTAATTTTTGTTTAATTTGGAAGCAATAAACATTGATATTTAAATTCTGCTAACCGCGCGTGATTAATTATTTTTGATATTGCAGCTTTAGCAGTCATCTACAATGCGAAATTTATCTCTCCAAGTACAACAAGTGGAAGAAATCCAAGGACATAAAGCTACCTTCTACCATGTATCTACCACAAGGTTCTGCAGTTTCTTCTAATGGAGCTCTTCATTGGTTAACAAATGAAGATTGCATATTTGCATTCAATTATAACCAAGAGAACTGGACATTGCTATCATTACCAGAAGAAGCAACGATGAATACAAATAATCGAAAGCAACTTGTTAAATATGAACATAAACTTGCACTCTTGTCAATGGGAGAAGAATGGATGGAACTTTGGGTCATGCAGAATTATGCGAAACGACTATGGAACAAGAGACTCTGTGTGAAACTAAATCCTATTGTTGGCAATAATGAACTTGTTGATCTGTATACATCAGATGTTGCATTTGCAAGAGGTTTCTGCAAGGTGATGTGGTATAATTACATTAATAATAGCCACACTGAAGTAGATACCAAGTTCCCTATAACTCACCTTGATGAGATATTCCCATTTTACTCAGATTCAGAGTATAGTTTTCTTGGTGGAGATTTGAGTTTTGGAAATTCAGGCAGAGTACTGTGATCTAGGTAAAAAATATTGGTAATAGCTCCAGTTTTTGTATGGTTGATCATATGGCTAAATATAATTTTCCTTTCATTTAGGCAAATCTGTATATGAACATAATTTCTGCACCGATTTGTTTTTTTTTTTTGAAATTTTGTATATGATTGACATGCTATGTGTAACCTAGATACCCTTTAACACATGTAACTCATCTATGGAGTAGACTCATTACGTCCCTGAAGCATTCCACAAATCATTGGTATACTTATAGTAGATAAGATCAGTATAAACGGAATGTAATTGTAGTAGATTCTTGAGACTCTAGTCTATTCCACCAATCCAAATAAAATTTCCTTGCTAAGTTTTCAGAGATCCCGATACAAGAAGGCTCGTTTAAAATTTAAATCATTTACATGATACACTGTTTTCTCTATCAACCATACAAATATATGAGAATCACTAATAAAACTATAAAAGAATGGGCGACCAGACCAGCTGACCTAAAAAACATGAACAAATTATATTTATAGTTCTATACAAATAGATTATATAACTTACTATGAACACTTCTACGTACAAGGAAGACAGCACGTTTTCTCAATCATCTGAAACAGCCACTGGAAAGGGTGTGGGGAGTCTTCTTCTTCTATGGATACAGTAGGCTCTGGTAGCTCTTGGGGCAAATGCCGGTGAAAAGCATCAACTGCAGCTGCAACTCCGTCTTCGTTTTCTATCTTTTTTGCTAGTTGATTTGCTTGTTCCTTCACCTGAAATGACCAGCAACTTATTAGGATTATAAAGGATAACTCTATCGCATCTTTGCAATGGAATATTTTGCCCAACCACGGGATATGTGAGTAGAACATTTATTTTTAACGGATCAAAAAATTTGCATATCTTTCCTTTGCCCCAACAATTTAATATATGAAATAAACAAAAGCAATTAGATGTGAATGAAACACTAAACCTAAAGTTATGTGCAAACAACACAAGCATCTACTAAGCATAAATGACCACAGAAAATATATAATAGGTTATAAAAGTCATCATTG